ACTCGGCGCGCGCACGATACAAAAAGCAGTGTCAATCATCACATTCTGACACCATAGCAGCAGAAGCCTGGTGACACATACGGTGAAGAAATTGTCGGGGATGCCGGGCAGGAAGATACGGGGAATGTTCTTTTCGATGAGCTCTGTCACCTGGGCACACCGAGCAGAACACCAAAGGCCAAAGGGACAGAATTACACAACGTCATCAAGGAGCTCTGAGAGGGAGGTGGGCCTGGCGAGGTACCTCGGCCCAGATGGCATTGGACAAGAAGTCGAAGCCATGCACCGACGTATGGGTGATGTCCAGCAATTGCCTGCGCACCACAGGGACAACGATCTTAAGATTCAAGTGCACGAAGCTGACTCGGTGATGTGACGATGATCATGATGTTAATGATGGACCACGTACTGGCATTCGGTGCCGACCCAGTTGTAGACGTCATTGTATACTGCCTGCAGACCTTCTGCCGAACCCCTCTTGCCGGCCTCCAGCCGCGCCACGGTGATTGTCTGCAAATATTTGCACATTAGGCCGACCCCCGAGAGGCAAGTTATCGCAAGCGCAGGTTGCTGACCTTTTCCAAGAAGGGACGGGCGCTGTGCACGCGATAGAGCATCTCCGCTTCACTCACCCTACACATTACACATGGCCCACACACGCGATCGTGAGATGGCCCGCAGCCAGGGGCCTGGCGCGATAAGCGAGTGTCGGTGAGAAAAAAAGTTGAGTGTTATCACCTGTCGATGGCGGCGTAGGTGCGGAGGCAGTTGGCCACGATGTCCGCGTTCTTAGTGTTGAGACCTTCCTTGTAGAGGTGCTCCATGCCGCGCTGGAGACTGTTCTCGATGAAGCTGATCCTCTGTTCCGAGAATGATACAATGTTGAGCGTACGCACACGACACACGCGAAGAGGCCACATTAGCGCCGATGTCGAAACCTTGTCCATCTTTTGGACGAACGGGTAGTCGGATCCCTTGGAGACGTAGAACTTGAGCTGATTGAATTCGTTGGCGACTCTTTGAATCAGCTTACTGGTCTCCTCGTCGGCCCTGTTTGGTGGAGCCATGCGTGAACGGTTTGCTCCCAGACCCAAACGTTTGTGTGTGTGGTATCACTTACCGCATGAGAACGTTGACGGCGGGTCCCTCGGTACGTCCTCCGTCAGCGCTGATGTGGAGCATGCGCTCGATCTTGCTGATGGACTCGTGCACGTTGACGAACAGCTCCAGCACTTCCTTGCGCGACTCAACCTGAAAGCCAGACGTTACATTATTGTGGACCAAAGTATGATGAGGCCTGGGAGGCGTACGTCTTGTTTTTCTTTGAGCTTGGCATCGAGCTGGGCGACGTGTTGGTCGAGCACGCCACGTACGCCGCCCAGTCTCTGCTTCATGGAGGCCAGGGGCTGCCTCAGGTGGTTGTGGATGATTCCATCGAGCCCGA